GGGTTGGCAAGCCTTAGGCTCTAGTCGAGAGGGTCGAGCTAACATATCGGGCTAGCCTTACACTTGGATTCGTTCTAAGCAAGGGCCGGCCTATTTGTGAACCTCGACATTGTAGCGCTTTCGGTTTATCTATTTTTAGATCGAATCGGGAGTGTTACAGTCGGGGTGGGCCTTATTCATCGTTTCTCCATAAATTCAGCTTCGCTTTGGCTAGACCCCTACTCCCATGGGATACACAGCAAGGTTGGGGTGGGCCTTATTCACCGTTTCTCCGGAAACCCAGATTCGTTTCAACTACAAACGTACTCCCCCGAGATACGCGGCAAGGTTGGACGACCTGTTCCAACACGGCTCTGAACTGGCCAAAACCTTCGGGTACCAAATGAACCTTTGCTTGTTTTACATGAGCGATGGAAGGATCGACTCGCCGACCTATTTCCAATCAGTCAAGAAGTTGGGACCAATTGTTGGGTCCCTTTTACCACAACCAATACTGCAGTAACACATGGACATTGGGTCCCACCAGAAAGCTGACTTTCTTCTCTTAGGCCTGCCACCGACTCCCTAGAGAACTGTTCTCGGACAGGTGGCGTGCTTAACCAAGCCGCCTGCTCCCGCGGTGTGCCGCACGGATGGGACAGGACGAGTTAGAAAGTGTATAAAAGGAGATCGAAGGCCAAAGAAGAAAGGGGGTTGGATACGATAAATAATTCGGAGATGACAATGAGAGACCGGATTCGTGACCTGAGAGGATCTGATGAACGTCCGTACACACCACTAATACATCCGGAGGAGGAGGGGAAAGCCTTCGACTCCCGCCCCTTCGTATCTCACCTCGAGCGCCCAAAGTCAGTGGAACCAAAGGGAACACTCACCGTCCCTCGAAGGATACGCTTGCTAAGAGTAGCGTTCTCCTTTCTTATGTTTGTTATCCTCACCCGTGTGAAGAGAGTTCCAACCGCACTCTTCTCATGGTCCATCTCTTACGCTCCACAACCAAATATCAGATGAGTGTCACGATCCCCAGACGGGACACTCAACCTATAAACCACCACCAAATTCCACCTTCCCGAGTATCTTAACCGATAAAGCGTTCACTAACTCGAGCGTTGGAGAACCTTCGGAAGGAAAAACCCCTTTCGGTCCATCCGGAGGTCTGGCTCACTCGTTTGCTGACAAGTAGATTTTTGATGTCTACTTAGTGCAATCTTAATGCACTCACTTGTAGCATAGTGGCAATAAGTATCAATCCACAACTCTGGAGGTATAATGAAGATGCAACAATCTTACTAAGCTAGGCTAATATGGGGTTTAAAAGGAGGCTCACAGTCAATAATAATTAAATGCAAACAAGTAACAAAGAGAACCAAACCATAAACAGTAAAGAGAAGAAATGTAAACAAAACTATAGCAATATGGTGATCAAACAAACTAGAGAAAAATAGAGCAATAACTAAGCAAATTCGAAATATTAAAGGCAAGGTCCAAGACTAAAGCAATGTGATTTGGGTGGTTTTAAATCATGTTTAAGGGTTTCAAGCAAAAATCAATGCATTAAATTCTAAGCAAGGACTACTGTTTTAGACTAATTCACTCTCATGGCAATAATCCCTTTGACTAATCACATTTCAAACTCATGGTTAATGGTGTATCTGTGACTAGCAAGCTTTCAATAAAAAATTCCATAAAGCCAAAAAGCAACTTAGATAACTAATATCTTAGGCTAAGCATCATTAAACTCTTGTGCAATGGATCATACATCAACTCACACTCTCATGCATAATCAATGTCTACGAGCGATTTCTCCATCTCTTAAGTACTCTAGCATTAAACTCAATCAAGCAAGAAATGGTAGATGCAACGAGTCATGATAATTAATACATCATTTTCAAGCTATGAAACTCATTCAAACATTTCATCAAACACTAAAGTGGCAATAAAATGTCTAGGGTCTATTTTAGGCAAAAGGGAGATACTTGGCATTAAGAACAATCACACAAAAAGAGATAATGAAGATCTAACACCCTAATCACCTTAAACAATCATCAAAATTACTCTAATCTACCTTAATCTCAAACCTAAGGTTGACTACTAAGTAACCATGTTTAAATCCACAAAAGTATGGTTAAACATGATTATTAGTAGATAAACAAAAAAGATTAACAAGCAAATGCAAAACTTTATTAAAGAGAAACCTCAAAATTCAAACTTCGATCTTGAGAAAATAGAAGTTTTTGTTGCAACAAGGAAAAGATAAGATAAGATAAAGCTTAAAAGATAGGATAAAGATAGCATAAAAGATTTGATAATGAGTTTTTTAGGCCAAGCCTATTTCTAGGAGAGTCTCAAAATAGGTTTGGTCAACTAAATAAAACCTAGTCAAAAGATGGTCAACACTTGGTCAAATCTCGGATTCGTCTATATCGAACAGGTCAGATAAGTGCCCTCTACGATACGCTTGCTCGATGTGTTGGATCCTTGACTCGGATAACCCCTTGATCTTTGTACGCACCATGCAGTGCATGGTATGCTCTCCTTGGTGCATCTCCACGATATGTCATGTGGCTTGGGGTATCGAACAGAGGGAGGATGGCCTTCCATGTTATACTTCCTCGGTATGTCATGTGGCTCCCCATATCGGGCAGGACAATGAGGCCCTCCACAATGCAGCTCCTCAATATGGGTCATGAACGCCTTGATTTCCTTCTCCACTCGATCCACCAATCTCCTAATGCTTTCCTTAGCTCCTCAATAATCTTAAAAGACACTCAAAACATAAGGATATATGCATTCCTAATCTATTTGCATACTAAATTTAATATGGATGCAAACAAGACTCTTTGGACTAAAAATGAATGAAATAAAGTGAAAACCTATATTAAATGAGACATAATATAATGTAATAATATACGCTATCATTTACCCATATTCGCAGGACCAATCAAACTTCTGTTCCAAAACCATAATATAGCTTATCTCTTAGAAGACGAAATCTGAAACCATAATTCCATATATCAAAATAAACACATACCTCATATATATCCTGTAATTTATGTCTGAACACAGGCTAATCTTATTTTGTTACAGCCGTACAGCCGATCGATCAATTAGCCCAATCGCCTTTCTGTCGGGAAAGGAGTCGAACCTTTGGTGAGATAATGAAAACTAGGTGGTTGCCCGCAGATATGTGCAGATATAATTTTTTTTATATACATAGTTAATTGTAATATTTAAATATTGATTAATTTTTTTAAACATTGGTATGTTTGTATATATATTGTTTTAGTATTTCACAAACTTTTTTTTGAAACTAATGTATTTTAAAAATTTTATTTTTATAATGCTTGTGATAATATATAATCACAAATATAAAAGTTATGTTAAATAATAATAATTTTTTATAATATTTTTTGAATATTTCTATAATATGCTTTATTTCTCTTTACACAATCTCGTCTTACATTATATAAATTTGCAAATACATATATAATATATTTTAATATTTTTTTTGATTTATTGCAAATTAAACTGAAATAGTTTTTACTATTTTTACTTATTCTTAAGAGAGGATAGATGGTTGGCACGCATGTGCGGATATACCAACCACTTCACTACACTTAGACTAGATAAATATTTTTTTTTGAAATATAAATTATATAATAATTAAAATAAAAATTAGTCTGTAATCAATCTTAACAAAATACATGCACGGAAAAGTTCGCATGTGACTTCAACTAATGTACAATTAATATTTATGTATGTACGCGTATTTGTAAAAAAATTAAAATATACCTCTTAGGTGTTAAAAAGTTTTTAAGTGACTTTGTAAAACAAAGTGCGAAAGATTTATTTTTACATGCCTTTATTTTATTTCTTATTCATATTGTTTCATCTTATTATAATTTATTCTTTCGTTCGGTTATTTTTCATTTTATTTATGTTCTCAAAATTTTGATATACAATGAAAATAAATTTATGTATATATATACATATATACATATGATATAAAATTTATTTTTATTTAAAATATAATAAGAGATAAGATGAAATGGTAACATAAGTTATGTATATTTTAGAAAACAACAATAAATAGATGATAAAAGTTATATAAAATATATGGTCTTATTAATATTAGAAATTAATAATTAGTATATACTTTATTCATTTAGTAAATATTGGTTTGAAAATAAAAATTATTTAAAATTACGTTTGTTTAAAAAAAATCAATAAAATTTGATTATTTTTTATTATTTTTAATATTTTATTCTTTAAATTATTTTTATCATGATTGTATGTTATTTAAAATTTTTATTATTTAATAATTTGTTTATTTAAAACTTGTTTAGATGTTATTAATATATTTTGTAAATTAATAAATTTCCGAAATAAAAATTTATAATACTTCTAGTATTATTAATAAATAGAATTTTTATTATTCTATTGGATAATTTAGTATTATTTTTTGTTTTATATAAAATTATAATATATATATATTGTTGAAATTTTTTTGTAATTATATTTTATAAAATTATGAATATATGTAAAAATTGAAATTATAATAACTTTTATTTCCTGTTAATTTAAATTTGTTTATTTTAGTGTTATAAATATAATCTAGTTTATTTATGTTTTAGTTCCACAATTTCTATAATTTTAATTTAACCAATCAAAATATTTCGTTTATTTTATAAAATTTAACATATCACATTTACATGTCATCAATTAAAAACATTAACTTTGGTTGTAATGTTGATAAGTAAACTATTTTCAATAATATTACTTCTTAAATAATATGCAATCGATCGGTTATAGAATGAACTTTTCTCGAATTTTGTCTTACTTGACTTTTTGTTGAACCGGTTTATTAATATTATCTTTCTAAGAATATAGTCGATTTTTGAATTAAATCTCGTTGGTAGAAATAACCACAAAGAGATCTTGACCACTACCTCGATCCCACGAATCCAAATCGGAAAAGTTTGAAAAGCTCGAAGAAGAATATGCAGCGTAACTTTCCGACGACGCTCTTACTTTCGGCTCTATGTTTCTTTCTAGTGCCGGAGCTAATGCCGGTCTGTGAAGCCGTGTGGCTTAACATTCCCCATACTGGAACAAAATGCGTCTCGGAGGAAATCCAGAGCAAGGTCGTCGTTTTGGCAGATTACCTCGTCATCTCCGACGAACATTCCGTCTTCCCTACTGTCTCCGTTAAGGTAAGCATCTGATTATTTTCTCTAGATTTGAATCATTTGTTTCCGTTCGTCGATTAATTTTTGATTTGAATCTGGACTCTGTGCTTCGATCTGTTATCGTGTTTTGGAAATCTAATATCCATGGTCATGCGAATCGACATTGCTTTCTATAAATTGTTCTTGTTTCACATTAAATTAGGCATTAATTGAAAAATTTGATGCTCGATTCAAGTTTCCTTATTTGTAAAATTGTGCTCCTGATGAAATAAAAACTTTCGAATAGGTTTTTGATTGTGCATTCAATTGTTGAGGTAGTTACTAATTAGAGAGATTCCACTAACTAGCTAAAGCTTTGAATTCTCTGGGCATCCCATCTTCATGGAATGAATATATAACCATTTGCAAGTAGCTGATTCATATTTCACCAACCAAAAAAAGTAGCTGATTCATAGAAGAAAGAATCATATCTTGTGATAAGAGATTGTTATGCGAATGTGATAATATAAACATATTGTCTCAAGGGTGTGGAAAGAGATCGTTATGTGCATATAATTTGCTTTTATTTCTGGATCTTAAGCATTCAGATTTTCACTAAGTGGGAGGAGAAGACGAGCTTTTCTAGTTTTTGAGCATTTTATGTCAACATATTTCTCGAACTTTTAATTTCTGACATGATCAATAGCTTGGTCTGCTAATGAAGTGTGTGATCGAAGAGTGAAAATGTTTGGAACTGATGATCGAAGAGTTCTCTATTTCCTTGCAAAGATGAATTAGATTCTTATGTGTCTTGTTTTGTTTCCACTGCAATGGTTATATCTCACCAAAACCTTACTCTCCTATGCTTTATTAGTTAGATGGTAGCCATTGACTCTCCCCTGCTATCACATAGCTTGATGGATTATTGTAGAAAGTGTAATCACATACGTGCACAAAGTCGATACATACTTGTTGTTTTATATGGAAATAATGTTTTTGTTTGAGAGTGAAGCATCTCATAACTGACCTAGAGATTCAATGTTGTTATTTGCAGGTTACATCACCATATGGCAACCTTTTGCACCAAAGCGAAAACACAACGCATGGTCAGTTTGCGTTTACAACGCAAGAATCAGGAACCTACTTGGCCTGTTTCGAGGCCGTAGGTAAAATTCATGCTAACGACATTAGCATCAACCTTGACTGGAAAACCGGAATCGCAGCCAAAGATTGGGACTCCATCGCTAAAAGAGAGAAGATCGAGGTCAGTAAATTTCAAAATTTGCTTCATCAAATTAGATACAAAAGAGCTCTAAAAGTCAAGTCTCTATGTGCTTTCTCAATCGTAGGGTGTTGAGCTTGAGCTAAAGAAACTTGAAGGTGCAGTTGAAGCCATCCATGAACATCTACTTTACCTCAGAAACAAGTAAAAAAACTTTAATTTAACCGCTTCATTCTTTGAAAAATCTTGAGAGAAGAAATCAAAACAAACACACACTCTGTGTCTCTTTTTACACCTGCAGAGAAGCAGATATGAGGATTGTGAGTGAGAAGACGAACTCTCGAGTCGCATGGTACAGTATAATGTCGCTAGCCATCTGCATTGTGGTCTCGGGTTTGCAGATTTTGTACTTGAAGCAGTACTTTGAAAGGAAGAAGCTTATTTAGATCAGAGTGAGTGATCCACGGATACTAGAAACCAACATTTTCCACTGCTTTGTTTCCTCTTTACGCTCCCTTTTGAAACTGTTAGTGTAAAATTTTGCTCGTCTCATTTTACTTGTAGTTTGTCTCCGACTAGATATATTACATAACTAGACTACATTAATAATACGATTCTGAATTTTATTTACTTGGAGACATGAAGTTGTTGTTTTTTTCTTTGGAACAACTTTCTATGGTTTATCGAGCTCATTTGGTGAGAAAACGAGAAATATTGGTTCTTTTAATCAACATATTAACTTTGTGTCCAAATCTCATAATTTGTAAGAATGCAAGGGTTTTCTGTAAATGGCAAAATATTTTTATTTTCCTTGTAAACTTTACTTGAGAAATGATATTGTTAGTTTTTAGACAGTAACCGGAAATTTTAAAATTGATGCGAAAATAGATAAAAAAATATATTTTATAAAACTATATAATAGTTTAATGTAAATAGAACTTTAAATTTTGTGTAAATATTGATACAATATCAAAAAATCAGTAAATCAAGGGTCTTCAAAATGTGAATTATTATTAGAATCTGTTCTTCATGATTTATAAAGTCAAAGGATTCTCATTCAAATCCAAAGCAAGATTGGTGGCAAGAAGATCATTATTTGATTTAGCTTATTTTTCTTCTTTTGTTTAAATATAAATAATTTAAATTAAATGTAATTTATTGTAAAGATTCTTTGTAAAAGCTATAAAAGCTCATTGTTCTCATTGTAAAAAGATATAGAAATTTTTGAAAAATAAAAGAGAATTTTTTCTAAAAAGCTTAGGCTTTGTTACTTTGTTCATTAGAGATTGTGTGGAATCAGTTCTCTTATATTCTTGCGAGTTCTTGAGTGATTTGTGAAATCAGACATTTGAGTTTTCGTGTTGTTTCTTACTGTCCATGCGAGGATGAGCCCTTGGAAGTTAGAAACATAAATTGTTGCATGTGGAATCAGTCAACCCATCTATCCATTCCATCCACCTATCCTTCCTGAAAGAGACTTGAGTCCAGCAGGATTGATCCCATAACCATCCACTTCGATCATCTCTTGAGCAAGTAGAAAGAGACTTCAGTCCAGCTGCTTACTTCCACCCATTCACCCAACCATTTATAAGATCATCCCATTGATCTTATATCAAATATGATGTCATATGCAGCGCCGGCTCAATAATATTAGGGGTTGCTGGACAAAAACAAATTGCATCCCTATATTTATTATACATAAGAAAAAGATCTAATTTAGTTTTTATCTAATGTTTTAGTAAAAACATATAATTTAATAATTTATAATATAATACTTTTTATCAGTTTAATCTAAATTTGATAAAAATATATATTGATGAAAAAAATTTGAATCCCTAAATTCTTAAAATTGGAGTTGGACTAGGAGCAATCATACATTTTTGTCCTCCCAAGTCAACCGGTCCTGGTCAGAAGGGAAATAGATTGTTAACTCTTATAATTACTAGGTATATAACTCGCACTACGCGCGAATCTGTATTAATATTTTGGTTTAATTTTTTTAACTATTATCTTTAAAATTATTAAAAATATAATATATATAGAAATTTTCATTTATATAAGAGAATTTAATATATATTATGTAATTTATCCTATTTTTATTTATAAATTTTAAAAAACTATAAGGTAAAATAATAACAATGACACCTATTCAATTATCTAACTTTGACCTAAATATACATTTGATTTAGAGAAATATAATCTTGCTAAGATTTTGGTATTATTTTCTGTTTTCCATAGAATTTCTATAGTTCTTTTTTTCTTGAAGGTTTATGTGTTCAAATATTTAGTTTTTTATTGAAAGTCTTATTGATGTTGTGTACCACTGCATATATAATCCATGATTCATGTTGATTTGTATTTAATTTTGTTAGGAAGCTGTAATGATCATGCAAAACTATTTTTTTCTTCTCCATCATGTCTTCCAAGAGTTTTATGTTATATTTTTATTTAGTTTTCATTGTTTTAATTGTTAAATCGAGTTGTTGTAGATTTTTTTAAATTGATAATTGATAATGGTTACTTTTTTATACATGTATTGTTAATCGTTAATTTTTTTATTTAACTTTTAAATTTTTAAACCATATTAACATTTTCTGATTTAGTAAATATGTTGATTTGGATTAATCAAATTGAATTTACTTTTTTGTTTGACATAATTTGTTAAATTAACTTTTAATGTTTTAATTATACTTAATAATTTTTGGTTTGATTTAAAAGCTGATGTGGACCAATTAAATCAAGTTTTTTCGTCCTAATCATACTTCATATTTTTTTTATTTAATGAATATGCTGATGTGGACCAATCAGATTGAGTTTTTTTTAATCCCATGTGGACGCCCTCAATGCACTATGCAATCAACTTTTATATATTACAGTAGAACCTCTATAAATTAATACTCGATAAATTAATAATTACTATAAATTAATAATTTTTGCCGGTCCCAAGTCGGGCCAGTGTAAAAACTGACAAAATTCGATAAGATAATAAGATAATACTTTTTTTGAAAGTTCTATGTAAAAGTATGGTACCAATAATAATATAAATTAATAATTATACATTTAAGAATATATTAATAATATAATATAATAAACTATGATAATACTGTTGTTTCAAATTTATAAAATTTGTTTGATTTATTTTCTAAATTCATTATTATTACATATTTTGATTGAATTTTACATTGTTGAAAATATTGATTTTGATTTTTTGATGAATATTAAAAATTCAAACTAAAAATATCTCTATAAATTAATAAAATATTAATTTATCGATAAATTAATAATTATTAATTTATCGATTAATTAATAACTCTATAAATTAATAAAATTTAAGAGTCCCAACATTATTAATTTATAGAGGTTTTATTGTACTAGGCTTTTAACTCGCGCTACGCGCAAGTCTGTATTAATAATTTGGTTTAATTTTTTGGCTAATATCTTTTAAATTATCAAAACTATAATATATTTCTAGAAATTTTCTTTTATATAAAAAAATTAAAACATAATATGTAGTATTTCCTATTTTGTTTTTATAAAATTATAAATCTTATTAAATAAAATCATAGTAATGACACCTAACGAATTATCCAACTTCGATGTGCATATGTTTGATTTAGAAAATGATTTTCTTACTAAATTTTTGGTGTTTTGTTTTGTATCCTTAAGATTTCTATGGTTCTTTTTTAAAAAAGTTTATATGTTTAAATATTTAGTTTCTTTACTAAATGTCTCACTAATGTTGTGTACATATACATATATAATATATGATATATATTGATTCAGATTTACTTTTGTTAGTAAGCTACACTTATCGTGTAAAGCTGATTTTTGCTTCTCCACCAGATATTCTAGGAATTTTAGGTTATATCTCTATTCAGTTTATAAGATCTGTTTTATTTGCGGTCAACTATTTACTAATATTTGTTTTTAAACATGTAAGATGATGTTGAGACTTCACATTATCACTGTTTTTTTACCTTTTGTGTGTTTATTCATGTTTTGATTTGGATATTTTATCTTCATATATTCCCATTTGAATTTGATTCATAACTTTGTCATATTATATTATTTAAATAAAATTTTAGAAGATGTTGCTCATGTATTGTTTATGTTGATTGAGTTATAAGCAGTAAATATGTATACAAATCATACTTTATTTCTTATTATATTTTGAATGTAAAGTTACTTCTGTAGTATTTTACTTTGTTAATTTTTCAGCCATACGCAACCAAAGTATTAATCTTTTGTAAATTTAAATAATATGTTTGATTTAGAAACTTGTATAACCTATTAAAACTTTATATGGTTATTCATAGTCAACACCAATATTTTAGAAATCATGAATGTTTTTGGAACTATATTTCAAACTAATTTTCTTCTTAAATCTTGTTTTTTGTTATTTTAAATATCTTTGATGGTAATTTTATATTTTATTTTAATTATTTAATTTTCTGCAGGTTTGATATACTTAAAACATATATATTTTTAATTAATCTCTTTTGTTATTGATTTTTCAAATAGGTAGCATATATATTAATCTAATATCTTTTACATAAATGCTTTTTCTTTGTTAAATTTACTTTTTAAATTAATTAAAATGCTATTTTGACATGCTATAACTGGTTATTCTAAATTTTAAGTGAACGTCTCTCAAAAGCTTATACCATCATTTGCTTTTTTTAGTTAATATTTGTTTGGTAGTTAGCCTAAATATCAAGCTAATTTTACTTTATACGACTTTTTCCTTTGATAATTTACCTCTCTTGATATTGGTTTTTATTTTATTTTAATACACCATTGTTTTTAAAATATTGATATTTTGAAGACATAAATTTTTTGTTAGTTAAATATTTTTATATGAGTAGTTAGTTAGTTATCAAGTCAATATATTTTTAAGTGTTTTTTTCAATAATATTTTGTAAAACTTAATTTTTTTTTTTAGTTTTTAGTTAATTAATTTCTTAATATTGATTTCTGAAATAATTATCTTAAATATTTATATTATTTTTGCTAGTTAAGTTTTTTAGTATTATTTAAGTTTTTTTTATTCTCTTACTTATTCTGTTTATATTGATTTTGTTAAATAAATAACATAGATATTAAGTTAATATCCTATTTTTGTTAATTTAACTTTCTCGATATGGACTTTCATTTTAATTGTATTGACATGTTGTAAGAAATAATTTATGTTTTGGTTCTTGTTAGTTAAACATTTTTTAATATTGTTTTCTTTAGTAATTAGCATAAAGTATCATTCTTGGTTTCTTAAAATTTTTGTGTTATTTTTTTAAATATTTCCCCAAAAATTATAAGTTTTCGATGACTTTCTTTCTCAATAATTTAAGATGAATATTGTTTTCGAAGTATTGATATTTTTAAATAATAAAAATTTAATCTTAATATTTTTTATAAATAAATTACTCATTTAAAATATAAATGCTAAAAA